ACACACAACTTGAGAAAATAAAAGTTTGTTTTTGATAAACTCCTTTCTTGTTTGGTCTCACAAGTTCAAGTACTTTATATAATTATGTTCCAATAATAATTTTCATGGATAAAATATAGCTGCTTTGATTTGGGTGGTTTCTCTGAAGCAAAGCATGCACTATAGCACATCTTGCTTCTAGCAAATTGTTGCATTATTGCACATTTCTTTCAAGAAAACCTGCATTAAGCTGTTAATGACCCATTACATGTTTGTTACTAAGGTAACTGAAGTTTGTAATGTTTAATATCATAATAAAAACATGGGCTAGTAAGTAAATAGATTTTTTGTAATGTCATTTGAGGAAACTATTTGGAGTTATTTAAATGGTTCAGGGACATATTATAATTAGAATTTCTCACATAAAAAGTAAACAAAAAAACTTTAACATTCAAATCATTTTCAGGAACATATTAGATTCAAACAATGAAGTATGACTGTTTTTACCAAGAAACAACAAATTCAAAAGTTTGAGCATTGAGGTATATCTTTGTAAATCCTATTCAAGAGTTTGCTGTAGGTGACTCTTCTTGATGTTATTTGATCCTGGTATGCAGAGATCTACACGTGGCACCAACATATTCAAAGGGACAATCTATCCTTTTACAAGGATATAGCTCAATGCTCAAACTTTCTGGAAGAATAGTTTCATCTGCAATTTCTTTGTCATTCCTGAGTAAGGAGAATATAAAAGGAGCACAAATATATTCTCCTTACTCAGGAATGACAAAGAAATTGTGGATGAAACTATTCTTCCAGACATTTACTCAATATCTTTATAAGAAACAAAAAATCTTTTACTAGTCCAACATTTAATTTGTAAGAAAACAAATGTTTTCACTATTTTAAATACAATTTTCTGGTTCTAAAATACATTAGCATTGTAGTTCTAGAATAATCATTTGAAATTAAAAAATCATAGTTTACATTCCAATATGTCGTGGTTTATGATAGCATTCAAATTTTTAAAAAGAATTTTCTTTTCATCCTTTTCTTTCAACTTGCATGGCTTGGTGCAATTTCAACTGGTGTAATGAATTTTATGGCAGCCAACAGAATAATTTTATAATCTCTTAATATTGTAAAACAATATAGACAGATGTGTTATTTGTTTCTACAAAGTTAAAATACTTTTGACATAATCCAGTAAATACAATATCTTATAAAATGTTTGATACTTTTTTATTGTTATCAAAGCTAGTAGTTAATGAAATACTTTATTTTTTTACACATCATTGTTGATTTTGTTCAAAAAATACTGTACAGTATTTAAGCTTCCGTATCATAATTTTTGTCTTTGTATTCTAGAGTACTACTTGAAAAATCCTTATACAGTAGAGCCTCGAAAACTCGGCCTAATGTGGACCAAAGGGTGGCTGAGTTTGTGAAAATGCCGGGTTATTGGGAATGGGGTTAAAAAAGGATAAGTATGCGTATTTCCTCAGAAAATATTGTACTGTACTTGTATGTATTGTTTGCTTGAGAATACAACAGAGAATAAACTGCCCAAATACCCTTAAACAAAGGAAAAGTACATCCTTTATGAAGGCATAGAGCCTTTACTACATGAAAATGAAAATTAATGAATACACTGTGTACAGTAATTTACCTGATAAGACAGACCTCAGAAAAATACTTTACAAGAGAACTTTTATAAATCTGTCTATAATGAAAATTAATTAACTAAGAATTTTTTTGCCCTGCCAAGGTGTGGCCGAGTTATAGTTA